TTTCCGCTCTCATCAAGCCTCGCCCTGTCACTGTTCAGTGAGTGCTAACTGAATGAATGAGCAGGTGATCCAGTGAATTATTAAAAGAATGCGTGAAGAGAATGGAAGGGTGGTGTATTGCATGGGCTTCTGGGAAAAGCGATGTAGCCGATTTTCTCTGACTTGACTTGAAGATCAAATTTTGCCAAATTCTTGGCCAGGTGACAGAAATCGCAGTGTGGTGAGGGTGGAGGCTCTTGCAGGTTTCCAGACTCTCTCTGTTGTATTTCCAGTGTTTGTCCGGATAGTGCTGGAAACACAGCAAAGATGCCCTAGAACAGAGATAGTAAACTCACTGCTTCCAAACGGTCGCCCTGGGGCTTGGAGATGTGAACTCCCCCTCCGTTTCTCCCAACCTCTCTTTCTACTCTGACCCTCGAGGAAATGAAAATGTACTGAGTGGAAGCTGGTGATATGGGGCCAGGAGGGCAGGTGGGGAAGAAACTGAAGGAAAGCAGGGGGAAAGAAAGGCTGAGATAAACCGGAGATGGTGGAGAAGCTAATAGTGGAAAAGGACAGTAGATAACCGAGTGACTGAAGGGTAAGGCAGAGTTTCAGACTGAGGGGACACTAAGGTTCCCAAAACGAATAGCTTGACTTGAAGCTCTGGGGTCCCTTCCCCTCACTGAGGGACCCGCTTGTCGTGAATCCCCCACGTGTGAGTGACAAGCAAGGACACGGTGGAGGGACTTGGACCCTCATCTCTGGAAGCTGTTTTTCTCTCTGATGCTATTTCCCATCATACTTTTAACATGAGTCCTTGGGAGTGGTGGTGATAGGAAATTTGATTAACAATGAGCAGGGAGACACTGCAGGCATATAAAGTGGTGAAGAGAAATCCATGTTTAACTGGACAAGTGTCTACAGCAGCGGCGGGTCATGGTGGAGCCCTCTCTTCCAAACGAGGTGGATGGCTGGATGATGGAGACGAGGTCAGATGAGAAGAGGGCCTCTGTTGTCAGGGCGAGTCAGGCGAACAAACCACCCCTTCAGTACCGGGACGGTTAAACAGTGTTGAAAAACTGGAAAGAGGGAAGGGGACCGTGTGGAAACCAAGGAGTAAGAACTGCAGGAAGTGGCTGGAGCTGGGGAAACAAGGGGAAGAAGCTGGGCTTCTCAGAATCTAGAAGTTTGGAGAGGGCCCGGTGGGATCTCCAAGGAGGGGCACAACGGGCTGTATCCGCTGGGGCCGCCTAGAAGGCGCTGTTGCTGCCGGAAACCCCAAGCACCTCCTTCTGCAGCCTTCCTCTAGCGCCCCCTGTTGGCGGAACCGTCTAGGGAGCCTGCTGATCCGGAGCATTGATGTTTGCACCGCCCCAGCGCCGTCAGTGAGCCGTGTGCGGGACGGTGTGTCTGAAGGTGAGAGCTAGGAGCTGACGAACCAGCACAGGGCCTGAAGAGAACTGCGTACCCATTGATATCAGGGTTCAAAGAAGGTAGAAGCTCACTTGTATACTGGAAGCTTCTCGAGGGCAGTGACTTGGCTACGTCTTGGCTCCGTCTGTCAATCGGGGGTTCCCTTCCCTCTACTGGGGTAGGCCTAGTGGTGATTACTGGGCTCGTCGCTGACGTGAAATCACAGGAGCAGCCGGGTGTGAGGTCCGCCGCCCCTGGGAGTGCTTCTGGGAGGGGCCCGAGGGGAGTGCGTCCCAAAGGGACTAATGAACTAGAAAGCACTTTGTAGACCAGTCCCTATACTGCTTAATGAAGCCACTGTCCCCGTGGAATCTTGAACTGAAGACCTTGGGGGCCTTGACTTTACCTGACACAGAGAACTGGAAACCCGGGTTGCATGGCTTAGTCAAGGCTCCATCACCTGCGACAGTTTTCGGACTCCTAGGTGTTTCGGTCTCCTCCTGAGTGAAAGGGAGCAAACGGTAGTTTGCCTCAGCCCGCCAGGGGTGCTGTCAGTTTGTAAGGGAGAGTGCTTGACACCACTTGACAGCTAGTAAGCGCTCACTGCACACTAACCATTATCATCCTTGTTAACTGCTATCTTTGTGGACCGAATTCGTCACGCTATAGCGAATTGCTGATTTCCCTTGCATTTAGATACCTTGTGTGTCTTGCTTATTGGAACATCTGCCCTATGACTGGATCTGTGAGCTTGCTGGCATTTGCTGAAGGATGACGCAGGCTGCTTGAATTGAGCCGAAAAAGCGTAACTCAGATGATTTAGCCTAGCAGCCATGGCCCTTGAATTTTGGGTCAGAAACCCCTGCTCAGATAATTTTGAGAGACAAATCCCTCCATATTTCTATCATTTGCTCCCCTTTGCCCTACTATGACTCCACCCCATCCCCAGCTTCTTCACATCATCCCTTTGGGCCAAATAACCTTTCCTGGAAGCAGGAGGGGAGCATATGTTCAGGTCCTGTTAATTTCTCATCGGAATAACTTTCCGGCACTATAATATTAGATACTGCTTTTCAGCTACAAATGGATTAAGCATTTTATTTTCAAAAAGAAAGCTCCTCTGTTTCTTAGACATAAGCTGTAAAACTCTAAACACGTACGTTTGAAGCTTCGAGAGAGACATTGGGAAGAGTAAGCATTTGCAGTTTATGGCGATGAGATGTGAGGCTGTGAAAAAGAAAGCAGCCGTGAAATACATGTTTGCATAAAGGTTTGAAATTTATTAGAAGGTAAAAATAATTGAAAAAGCAGAGCATTCCTCACCGGGTTATAATAAAAAGTTATTTATGTACCATCACTGCATGTATTTAGGACCCTGGGTCCTTTTCAGTGGCTTTTCTCAAAGAAACAAAAAGGAAGCTAAGCTTTTAAAGCCATGCAGTTGAAAAAGCCGACACACACACACAGCTGTTCAGACAACTGGGCCATCTTAAAGCAACTGGTGATACTAGCCAGTCTGAATTCTGTTGTAGAAGCTTAATAGGTATGCACGATAGGCAGCTGCTTACAAAACAGACATACCTAGCCCTGGGTATAACAGAATGGTAGACTCAGAAGCAGTATTCATTTATCTGAGTTCCATTAAGGCCTTCACTGTGGGGTTTAATCATTCAGCATAGATTTTAGAATTCACCTGCTGTACACAATATTGCATAAAGCGCTGTGGGATTCTTGGCCAAAAGAGAATGTGCAGTGGGGGAGGGTGTGGCTCAAGTGGCAGAGCACATGCTTAGCGTGCATGAGGTCCTGGGTTCAATCCCCAGCGCCTCCTCTAAAAAGTAAATAAATAAATAGACCTAATTGCCTCCCCTCCACAAAAAAAAAAGAAGAGAGAGAGAGAATATGCAAGGTTTGATTAATGCCATTTGGCTAAAGTACCCTCCTACTTATGCCTATATATATCATACATTATCTGACCATATCCTTTCAGCCCCAAAGTGAACTTTGGGGGCTTTGAAATGGTGCCTCCTTAAAGACTAACGGAGTGTTTCACCACTAAGCAAGAAAAGATCCAGCTTTAACTGCTGCCTTACTAATATTCCTCAGCTTTCTGGGAGCAACTCTATTCCTCACTATCTTCTAGTGCTAGAAGGCTGCTAACTGGCAGTGAAAGTTTTTGGTGCCCTCAAACGCTGACCAGTGTCAATCTGTTCTGGGTAGAGCTTAGAGCTTTATGTAGTGAAAGGAAGATGGAAAGATTTGGTGACTCGTTTTAGTTCTGCGAATCCGCATGGGAGAAAGATGGTGCGTTCCAAAGCCCAGTTTGAATGGCGTACATCTTTAATTTCATGACAGACTGAATTTGCCTCTAGCTTTTCTGTCTTCTTTGTTCCTCAGGGATTCCGATGCTGAAGATCGTGTTTGCCGGCCATGAGCACCTCTCTTTAATAGCCGTCCCCTTGCTCATCTACCACCCAGTGCAGATCCTTCTGGGAAGTGTGTTGGTGCCAACAATTAAGTCTTGGATGGTGTCAAGGCAGAAGGTGAGACTCTTAGAAGGATCTTATTTGGATCCCAGTTGGACTGAAACGCTTTTTCCGAATCTTAGCTGTTCAGACACTAACTTTTGCTAACCTAACCTTGTTCTCAAGTACATAGTTTCTTAACTAAACACAGTAATAATGGTGCATTGATCCATTTCCATTTGAACAGGAAGGCTGAGAGTTAATTGTTCTATATTGATATAAAAGGACAATTATACTTGAAATGCAGTTTTTAAAGGCACTTTTTAATTTGCACATAGTGAAGGGCATATTGCAGTGTCGGAAAGGAGGGCATATTGCAGTGTCGGAAAGGTTCAATAAATATACTCAAAATACATGCGCCCCTCCACTTAGGTGCACACTGTCTTTCCCCACCCAGTCATCCGTATGCGTCCTGATTTCACATGCCTTCCTAAATATGAGAGCACCTGGATTTATCTAGAAGGCTGACTTTATTTTTAATTTTCCAGACACATCACAGCTTCTTTGTACTGCCAAGCTGTGTGTTTGGGAATTAAAAAATAAAATTTCAGTAACAAAAGAGGCCACACAGTGATGTCAATTTCACCACCCCTGGCTCAGAAGTTGTGTGACTTACTTGATATTTGCGGATTTGATTTCCTAAACTATCAGCCAAAAGAAAACAAACTGAGTGATTCTACATGCAGCACAGACCACGGAGGGGCCCATAGAGCTGCGCTCCTTCCCAGCGGCTGGGGTCTTACGAGGCTTCTTTCAGCCTGTTCACAAGGTGGCGACTGTCATCAGGATGGAGTAAGAAGCGGAGACAGCCAGTGACAGAGCGCCCGCGTTATGTCCTCAGTGTCCTGAAAACGGAATAGCCCCCACCACCACCTGTGGAGCTCCGTGTACGCTAAGCACGTCCCAGCCTTTACTAGGTTCAGAGTGTGGACCCTTGAGCCAGCTCTGCCACCTTCTCATCACGTGACCAGGGGCATGTGACTTCATTTCTCTGTACCTGAGTCCCTGCCGCACAAAGACAGATGATCACATCTACTCTTCAGAGCTGTGGAGGATTATGTAGCAGGCATTTGACAAAAGCTAGCTTACAGAATCACTGTCATCGTCACTGACATTCATTATTTTCTACAGCACTGTCTCTAGCAAGCTCTGCCCTCCCCGCTGAACACGTAGGAGAGGCCCAGAGAGCAGACAGTGTGCCCGGGGCTGTGGGTGACTGAGCCAGTGCTGGAGTTAGGACTTGAACCCTGGTCTGTTTGCCCCCCAAAATCTTTACACTACAATGATGCTCCAAACAGAAATACAACATTGCTTGTAGAAGGAGAGCCCTGGGTCCCCAGAATCCTACCTGAGAAGGCAGCCATCCAGCACCTTCACTCATTTTGTTATTGAACAAAGCATTGGTGATCACCAGTCTGTGCTGGGTACCACTCCCGGCCACGGTCTTCCCACTCAGAGTTGGTAGAGCAGTGGTTTAGTAACTTCTTTCTTTGACTATTGATTCCCTTTGCAAACTCCTATTTGTATTTATGCTCATGTTTATCCGTGTGTACGTGCATGAGATGCCAGAACTTACATGTAGAAATTTTGACAAGGAATGAAGAAAATTATTTGAAAATCCTAATTCCCCATTGATAATATGCAGTCATCGTGAACAGCCGATTAATCAGAAGGAAATTTTCTCCTAAATGTTTAAAGGCTCTGGAATTTCTCCTACAAAGGAACAGAAGCGTTTCCAAAAAGGAAACTAAATTGGACAACACCGTTCATTTCGCCTTGCACAGAAACCACTCCAGATCAGGGGACCACTGGCTAATGTAGAATAATCCAGGAGGCTTGGAATATTTAGCCATCCCATCTGGCCACAAAAATAAATACAAAGTGTCCATCGTAAGGGCATCCATGATGGTCTCCTCTGCTTTACAGACAGTGCTGATTGAGGTCCACGGCCACCGCCTAGTGCACTGTGGATGGTCTGGTAGCCATGCCGGGCTAGGAGAGATGCGGGGTCTGCGGGCCAGTGAGGTCGGCTGGGGTTGGGGGCGGATCTATTTGGATCCAGGGGTTTGGAGCGTTGGTTATATAATGCTCTCTGGGTGGGCCTCTCCTTTCCTTCCCGTAGCATAAATTATCTGGTGTTAATTGATGCTTCCACTTTGCTCGTGGATACCGTCCAAGTCTGAACGTCATGTTTTCCTTTCTTGTAGGGAGTGAAGTTGACGAGGCCAACAGTATAACGCAGGAAGCACTCTTCACGCGGCGATGTATATATGTACAGGATTGTACAGACACACTGTTCCGAAGACTTGTATTTGTGAATGTTGCTTCGATGCATATTTTATTTTTTTACACAAAAATATGATATAACTGTTTAAGTGCCTTAAAATGTACTTGACGAGAGCGTTATTCACAAGACCTACTTTGTGGGTTCCTGCCAGGGGTGGTACAGTATTTTGGAGTTGTTTCTTTTTTTTTTTTTTCCTAAGGCAGGAAATAGTCATCATAGGTGACAAAAAGCAAACATGCTTTCCTTGTACCACCTTCCGTGCAATGCAGCTCTCTCCTAGTTACTGTACTGTTCGAAATGAGGTCGCAGCATCAGGAAAATGCCCTTCTTGTGACAGTGAAAATTTCCAAAGTCTTATTCACGAATACTTTGATTTACCATGCGATTCTTTTTTTCTGCAACTGTGACATGCCTCTTCCTTATCAACCCAGCAGGGGTCATAGATTGGATAGATGCTGAAAAGCATAAGTTATCTGCATTTCTTGACATCACTTTTTAAGACATTCCTTCAAATAGTTTCCACACAGAAATTCCTCAATTCCATTATAAGAGATTGCTATATGTCTGAAATTTGTTATAAGCTGCTTCACAGAAAGGGTCTGATGTTTGAGTTACGAGTAAAAGTTATGAGTAAAGTTTTAAGATAAATTGCAGGGTTTGGGTTTCAGGATTTTCAAGATTATATTTCAAATGTTTTTCCTTTTTCTTCCATAATTTCTTTCTTACCTGTTTTCAAACACCCTTGCAAACTCGTAACAGCCAAATGTGAGACACAAAAATGTCACAGTCAGTTTGAAAGCAGCAACATTAGTGATGGATTATGTTCACAGCCCGCAACTGAGACCAGAGTGTTTCTCCTGTTACACGGAGGTGCTGAGTGTGATCTCCCCTCTAAGCCGGAAGCAGCCTGTTACGTACCTTGAATTAAGCACACTTAAGGCATTTGGGACAAGTTATTAAGGAGCATTTCCTTGGCAGATTTGACAAATGTTTGCAACACTTTCTTAAAAAAAAAATCACATCGCTCTCATGAAGAAATGAAAATATAAAGTCATAGATGCAAACAAATGTTACAGACACACATTCTGTTTAGCTAGATGGAACGAAAAATAGACACAGAAAATGCAAAACCATTCATGAACCAAAATATCAAGCCAAATTAGTTCCCAGTTGGGCATCAGCTTTCCACAGAGTATTCAATGTCTGCTTCTACTGTAGCTGGAAGAGCTTTCACGACCCAAATAGAGAGGGAACAAAAGAGCAATATATAGAAATAAGGGAACACTGTTTCCTGCACACCATTCTGTCACAGCCCGTCTACGTGTCTTTTCTTGATTTGACAGATGATATTGGCATCCCAGGTCACACGGAGGCCACCCGTACATCTTCAGCAGCTATTTTGTTGTTTTCTCGACAAAAAAAAAACCGCATCTTAAAAACTTACCAAGTTTATCAGTAGCATAAATGCACATGATTACTCCCAGCTCTCATCTTGTGTTGCTTCTGACTTATTTCCATGTCATCGAGCCTCCTAAATCCCACAAGAGTTAGCCTCGGTGTAAGTCTGAAGGCGAGTGCCAGACCCTGCAAAAATCTCTGCTCAGCAGGCTTGTTTGTCATGAATTCCTATTGTCAGGATTTCACTTGCATCTACAACTACAGTAGTTTTGCTCGATTCTTTTGATACTTAACATATGGAGCACAGAAAGGTGTTCATGTTTTGTTCCTACAGGCTTCTTTGAATTTCAGAATAAATGGAATTGTCTGTCTGAGCTATCATAAAAATCTCCTCCCTAGCATTAGAATACTGATTGTTTCCCCCCCCCTAACTTATCTACCTCTATTATCTGACACCTCCAGTAGGTGTGATTATGGGATAAAATTCAACCGAAAATGCTATAATGTTCTGTCTCTTGCTTTAAAACAATGTGTTTTGTTTTCAAATAATCTTCTTTACATAGTGAATTTTGGTGGCTCTATTGATATGTTTATGCCTGTTTCTCTTTTTACACAAATACTGTGTGTATTTTTCCATAAAGAGCAAAAAATAAATAAAATCAAAATTTATTTTTAATTCATGCTTACTGAGATTTAATTATTCATATCTCAGGACATGTCCTTATCTTTACACACTATTTTATGCATTTGTTTTGTCTAAATGTATTTATGAAAGAAATAGATTATATTTATGTTTGTTCATTTTTCCACCTGGATTTTTTTTTTTTTAAATGGTTGTTACGAAATTTGATTTTTTTGAATGGGTGTTCATGTTCATCTTTTCATATGCTCTTTTCTAAGTTTTAAAATTTTGTGGGTTTTTCTGTTGAATTCTTCCTTATTCTGGTTAAAACTAACACACCTCTGGCTAATGTTCAGTGTTTATTTATGCTAAATACCAAATTTTTTCAAAAGGGTTGGTGAAATAATGAAGTGGATTATTTATGATGAATGGAAGATAAAAATAATTCTGTGATTAAACAGAGATGTTTCAGAAATCACAAGGGAACCTGTGGCTCATTTTTAACCTGAATTCAGATGCACGTGTAATGCCTTCCAGGCATCTATAGCCTTCTCTTGATTCGTTCGATCCTCTTCTATTATTTGTGGTTAACTGGACGTAAGTGTCGTAATCTTCCCAGGTATCCATCTCAATATCTCCACTCCACCATCATGATAGAATCCAGAACTAGCACTTGTTAGAGACTCTCTGCATCAGAGTTGAGGACCAAACTAGAAACATACCCAATAAAGGGGCAGAATTTAGGTGATCTGAGTTTTAGCTACCCTTGTCAAATTTTTCAAGAATAGGAAAGATGAAACCTTAGAATGCAGAAGCTGTTTCCAAACCCAGAGTTTCCTGATGAGCAAGTTGCCTTGGGTAGAATTCCGTACCTCTCTGTTCTTGTTTTGCTGTCTTGGCTTAACAATCCTCTTCTCCCTGGAAGGCTGACAGGAATGTCGCCTCCTCCAGGAAGCTTTCCTGCTCCGCCAGCCAGTGCTAGACTTACACCCCAGGATGTGCCTTTAGAACGAGTCCCTCAAGTCTTCCAAAAGCTTAGCTTGTCCAGTCACTTGAGAGCGCTGTCTTCTTCAATGCAGCCCCCATTTCTGTTTTTCTCCTGTGCCTAGCACAGTGCCTGGCGCAGATTAATAGCGAAAACAAAACAAAGATTTTTCCAAATTGAGATCTTCATAGGTAGGACAGGAACCTTCATAATTATGAGAGGGCGCTTTCCAACATATAGATCATTACTAATTTGCAAGGAAAACTGACTTTTTTACTATGTATCCTGTGGGAAACGATGAAGCTGTGTTGTGCTGCTGAGAAAAACCATACATGGCTTCATAGCTGTGTAAATATTAGCTCTCCAAGCTGAGACTGCGGATGTGATATGCAGAGAACCTTCATCTTACACACTTTGATAGAACAATAAGCCCTCAATAATTCAGGCTGAATCAGGTTAGGGTGATCTGAATTAGTGAATATTTTCTGTGTATAAAAAAATAGCTTCCCTTATAGAAGTTTGGACATACCTATTATAAAGACTAGATACAAATTATTATGATTATCATAATACCATTGGTTTATGTAGATATACACAAAAGGTCGTATAAGTGTTTATTCTCTTTAGCAAACCAACTAATCTTATTTACACTATAGCACAGTTCCTCAAATGTGAGTACAATCCTGACCTTTAAAGAGGAAAAAATTCTCAGATCCTGGAGAACTCATCTACAGAGCCAATTATGAGAAACCGTATTAACCATCAGATGTCACTCTAATGGTCAGTTGGTGCCAATGTGCTTGTACACAGGTGCCGGCAAGCGCGCTGACGTCCAGGGCTGCGCTGAGTCCCAGAGGGTCTTCCAGATGATTCCCCACGGGCCTCTCCCTGCCCAACCCTCTGGCATCTCAGACTCCGCACTGTTCTCTGCTCCACCACCCACATGTGAAATTCCCTTCCAGTCCCTTGATTTCTGCCAAAGTCTGGACACACTGAGTCTGGGGGAATAGACAAACTTAAAATGGGTTATTAGACATCTTGTTTCCTCGCATCTCCAGCCACCTTCCCCCCTGGGGTTTCTCACTGACCCCCCTTCCCAGGAACCCCAGCCACCTGCCCTGTTACCCGGTACCACCTCCCTGTTTCCTCCCTTCTCTCCCCAATCCCCAAGTTCACGGACCTTTAGTCACCTCTTTGTTTACTCTCTGACATCCTGAACTTGCACCAGGGCTGACGGCTAGAAGCTTCCTCCTTCCCACTTCCCTCTCGTTCAGCTAGCTCCCAAACTGGGTGTGGGAGCGAGGCAGTATGGGGTTTCAGGTTTCAGGACCAGCTGTGCCGCAAACATTGGGGAGGTGATGAAAAAGGAGTATGTGACTCTTCTAGCTATACTAGAAAAACAGGCAAAGTTTAGGAATGGGGCATTTATACAAATTGGATAATCAACATTTAAAAATGTTCAGTCTTACAGGGATCAGGAAATATACATTTAAATGAGATACTATTTTTTTCTTTAATTTTTTTTTCTTTTAGTGGAGGTACTGGGGATTGAACCCAGGACCTCGTGCATGCTAACATGTGCTCTACCACTGAGCTATTTCCCTTCCCTCTTTGATCATCTTCAAATACTGACAAGAGTCTGGAGAGAGGACATGCGTGTCCTTCCAGCAGAAGCATAAATGAGAATGAGACTTCTGGAAGGCTAGTGGGCGTACCCTCAAAAGTTTAACTATATGTGTTCTTCAACCCAGCTTTTTCCCTTCTAGGAATCCGCCCTGCTGAAATAGGTAAGTGCCCAAGGAGCTATAGACAAGGATGTTTTCAAAGCATTGATAAGGTTGAAGGGCCACCCAGACTCCCCAAATCAATGAAATGTTTAAACATTCAACAGTCCATTCTTATTATAGAACATCATTTAGCCTGTAAAAGAAATGAGGGTAGATGATCTTGTCATGACAGTATATAGTTGAGTGGGAGGAAAAACAAATTTCAGGAAAAAATATGCAATTTGTCATCCTATTTTTATAGATTTTTTCATTAGTTAAAATGTGTTACATGTATGTGGGGACACTACATACATAAAAATGTTTAGAAGGATAATTATAAGCAACATTGTTGGCCTTTTTCTTTACTACATTGTTTCATCTAACCCCCTCAAGAATGCTGTGAGGTAGGTAGTATTGTCCCCATTTCACAGATGAGAAACTGAGTCCCAGACTAAGTGTCTTGCCAAGGCCACAAAATTAACAATCAGGCACATTTCAATGACTCTAAGACTACGTAACAGTGGTGACTGCTAGGACCAGGAATGCAGAAAATTCATACTATTAATGGTACATTTTATCTGAATCTCACTTTACGGGAGTTGTAACAAGCATGAAGCACAAACTGGAGGTACCTCTGCTACTTCTTGAGCAAATGCCATAATTCATTTCTGAGCCTTGGCGCATGTGTCAAGCAAAGCATCTTTTGGCTGAGGAAGATGAGCCTCTAAGTGCAAGCTGGGTGGCGGGGGAGGAGTGAGGCAGGACAAGGACAAGTCCCTTTCCACTTCATTGGGTGCCACCAGGGCCCTGGAGCAGTGCACTGTCCTTTCGCGGATCCTCTTCCCACCCACTCCTTTAATGTTAACATTTCCAGGCATCCTGATCTCCGATCTTTCTTCCCACCCTGCATGCTCTCCCCCCGGGAGCCTGTGGGCCATCCTGCAGCACCAGCCACCACTGTAACCCAGCCAGAGCTGCCAGCCCTGTAGCCCTGACATTTCCAATTGCATTTGGACATTCCATCCCACCACCACCCAACTTGGCATCCTTAAGGCACCCCTGACCCACATGCCCTGAAGGAAAAGTCAGTAACTTCTTTCCCTACACAAGGTCCTTCCCAACCTGCTTCTTGTGTTGTCCATAGCAATCAGGCCTCCCCTCTGCCTTCCCATCTCACTTTTCCTATTCAGCTAGTCACCCAATTTTCTTGATTCTCTCCTTAATCTCTACCATCTTTATCCCACTGCCGCTGGCATTTAGTGTTCTTTTTTCCTTCAGTCACCCTCTTTTCCAATCCAGGAAGCCCTCGCTAATATTCAGCAATCACTTACCACATGTTGGAGGCTTTGCTCAATGCTTTACATGAATTGTCCCATTTAATCCTTATGGCGATTTTTGACATTGGTATGATTATCCCCATTTTACAGATTATAAAGTAGAGGCTCTAAGAAAGTAAGTTCCAGATGCCAAAGCTTGTCAGTGGCAAAGCCTGGATTTCTACCTGGCCGGCACCTGTGTTTCCCTCCCCTTCTGCACTACTGACTTCAGATCCTCAGTTTCTGGCCAAACTCCCCCCACCATGGGGAGACATAGTCCTTGGTTTTCAGCTGTCTACTGAATTTCTTCATTTGCTTATTTATCACCTATCAGGTTGTGCCAAATTATCTTTGTCCACATGTCCCTCCCCCTCTAAATGATTCATTCCTTCAGTGGGGAGCTTGTTTTGTTTATCTCCATGACCCTAATACCTAGCAGAACGCTTGCCTGCTAGCAGAAACCTTAACAAATGTTTGGTGAACAATTTTGGTCCTTAAAGCCCCTCAGGTTGCTTTTCTGCTTCTGGAGGACAGACATCTACAGACTATAAAACATTATTTTGGGAGAGTGGCGTATGTCTCTTAATTATCTCTCAGTGAATGGGAATCATATTAATCAATCTAGGAATGCTTTTGAAAGGACTTCTTTTTCCCCTTCATGAAGACAACCAGTGAAAAAAGAAAAAAATGATGACAATTTTGACCTCAGAGTGCTCAGATCCAGAGCATCTGAGCCCCAATCCCCCTCCAGGTGCACATTTATTGTTGGGGCCATCTCCATGAGCAAGCAAAAGTCCTGAGGTCAGGGTCAGGCACCCAGACTGAAAGGAAGGCGTGGCTTTTGGTCCCAGGCTAATCAAGCAGGCCCCGCCCCCCTGCCCCTCAACGGCATCCCATCTCCCACCTGCCCAGGGCAGAAATGCACCCCTGCATGCTCTCCTGGACATTAACCACTCAGCCCCCAGTGCTAAGTCGGGATTGGCTGGATGAGAACACACCGGCAGATGAAAGAGAGAGCACTGGGCCGGAGAAAGAGGTCGAGGCAGGCCAGTTATTGTAACGGCAGCCCTACACAGGGGCCTTTTACCTCTGGGTCACTGGTTCAAGTCCAGCTAGGCCTCGCCTGACAGAAAATCATTAGTAGCTCTGTGTCAGGCTGCCTGACAGATGGAAAATGAGTTTCTGTCTCCATCCAGCAGGCAAGTGTCCACATCACACTTGGCGCTAAGCAGCCCTGGACGCTGTGGAGACAGAGTAGATGTCACGCGACAGCCGCCAGGGTCTCGGCGGGTCTCTGAGGTCAGGCGAGCCTGCATCTCAACATTGTCCCCTCGAAGGGCCTGACAGCTCTCTCCTCTCACCCCTTTATAGCACTTTATTAATCTAGGTTTGTTTTTTTCCCTCTGAAGAC